CCTCCTCACCTCTCCCCAGACCTGGACCCGTGCGCCCACCGAGTCGAGGATAGGCAAACCCGCCCGCTCCTGTGTCTTTTCTGCAACACCCGGTACGTTAAAATTCAAGAAAATACCCCAACACTGAAAAACAATCCTCTTAAATTTACGACAATTTGCGAAAAATTTTCTTAGTGCAAAAAATACCAGAAAAAATGAATAAGATACAAGTATTACTCTCGAAGTGTACAGAGAAATGTACACGAATTGGCCTCCCTTTTGTTTAACGCCACATAAATATTAAACTTTTAACGAAACACTTTTGAACTTACATTACAATTATCTGCTCATACTGCGTGTCATCTGCGAAAAACTGTGCTGACACAGCCCAACGTCCAAATAATGAACGTTATGGTTCTGAAAATGTAAGTAGAAGCAGCCCCCATCATGTGAGCTTCCGAACGTCGTTGTTCCTCTTTGAACTTGAACATCTCGAGCCCCGCGTGCATTCTTAGTGGTGCTCTCTGCGGCGAGGGCCCTGTGCGGCGGGCAGGCCCTTCCTGTTGGGCCGTCGTCGTGACCCACATGCGCGCGGGGCGGGGCGGGGCGGGGCGGGGCGCGGCCGGGGCGGGGTGCGCGTGTTGAGATCCCTTCCTGCTCTTCTTGTACTGCTCCCCCCGCAGCAGCAGCAGCAGCAGCAGCAGCAGCCTTGTACGGCAGGCAAATTTGTCTCTCTGAGCGACCAACTGCTGCTGCTTTAGTTATTTTCTCGCATGAAGCTTGGCACGTATACACTTTGGCTCTCCACACACACACACACACACACGCACACACAACTCGCCGGGGTCAAGCTTTCGGGAGCCCCGGACCGCCCGGCCGCCGCACAGGTAAAGTTACAGCGACAGTCGTACTGATTGATGCAACAGACGTTCGGCTCGCCGTTAGAGCGGGCAGCATTTACAATTACAAACAGCGGCGGCTCAGGCAGGAGGGCGCGCGAGCGAGCGGCGGGGCGGCTCCTCTCCGCGGAGCAGAGGAGGAGTCCATTGACCACGGGCACCTCGGCGTCGAGGAGGTTGCGGCGGCGGCGGCGGCCACACCGATACCATCTCTTGGCCCCCGGGGCTCCCCTCTCGGGCTCGGGCCGCCCCCCGGGCGGAGCAGGGGATATTCGGGCCCGTGGGCCCGCGGGGGCTTTAAATATGGAGTTGGTGGAAGTCCCTTTGGCCGGCTTGTGATGCTAATGTGCCGGGGCGGCGGCGCGGCGCCACGCCGAGCGGCAACATTCCGCCGGTGCGCGAGGACCATGTCGTGAGAGAGGGTAAACGTTGATCGCGCAGGGTGGCCCCCCCGGTGGTACTCTATCGGTGGTACTCTATCGGTGGCACTCACACGCACCGCACATGGACCGGAAGTACAGCGAGTGGTATGGTACTCTGGTGGTTCTCTATCGGTAGCGCTCACATGCAGCTGTCCTCATGATACACCGGAACCACGGCGACTGACGGGGCGGTACGAATGTTATGGCCTTCCGATCATCCCATTAAATTTGTATTCAGCGAGGTTGACTTAGCATGCTGCTGTGTCCCTCTCTTAACCCCAATGGCGATCCTTGACCTTCTGGAAAGGCCATAGTATTTCTACCCCCCCCCCCCTCACCCAGAAGGCGAGGGGTGGTGTGCCGTCTTCCCTTGCCGTGTGTCCTAAATCGGCTGCCCATAACGGCTCGCCGCGCCTCGCCCTGGTGCCGCGCTGCTCGCCGATCAGGGCGTTTGGCGGCGTCATCCTCGTTTTATAGTTTATCGATGCGGGCTCTAGTTGCTGAGCTCGCGAAGCGAGCGAAGCTCTAGGGCAGATTTTTCTGGGCCAATTCCGGTCACCGCTACGGAATAGCTTATAGCAATAGACTAAAAGTTACTAGCAGTAGCACTTGCAAGAACTATAGGTCCTGGCTAGTTACTTAGGCCCCAATGAGCATGGGCAGCGCCACTACCAACCTCGGCACAGAGAAGTGCGTACCGCAGTACTTCTGACCAGCACCAGCACCAGAGCGGCAGTGGGTGCGGCGCCCCGCCCCGCCCGCCCCGCCCCCAGGTGCGCCAACCTGCCGCGCGCCGCGGGGACACCGCCGCCGCGGTGCAGCAGGCTGGTCGCCGCACCATTGTTCTCGTCAAGATCTCATTTGTAACTCTCCGCTCCGCGGCGGTGGTGGCGGCACTGCGCGGCAGGACACGGCGGCGTCGCCCTCTGTTACCCATTGTGAGAGACGTCCTTAAATAATAATAATAAAAAAACAGGATTATTTTTATTATCATTTTTGGTTTTCGTTATTAATAGTGTGCACCAAGCTCACGACGCGTCACGACGCGCCCGAGTCCTACAAAAGGTATTTTGACCTCGACCCTCGGTTTAGACTCCCGTACCGCCCACGAGGTGAACTGTTGTTGCATACGGTCCGCTTACAAGGGAGTACAGCTCTGAAAACCTCTGGACTCGGGTTCCTTATTTCAGTGACAAAGTTATTCACTTTCAAATACACATAAGCCAGAATTTCCAGCCTCGCCCTCTTTCGGTCTCGGTTCATACTTTTTCATGATCGAAATTGCCCTTTTCAGCCCATCCTGTTAGTACCTCCGTCCGTCTGTCTATTCCACTGGGAGAAGGCCGGCTAGAGACTGCATGCATTTTTTCAGAAGGGTCACTCTTCTTGGAGAACGATACGCCAACGGCAAATCCTGGAAACCCCTATGGATACTTTCAGGCTTTGAAGTTATGAGGGTTCCCTGAACAGACGTTTTGGCCATGTCGCTCCGAATAAAGCATTCCGTTAAAGCTCAAATGCAGAAGAATGCGAGGAACAAGAAAGCATTCTTCTGCATTTCAGCTTTACCGGAATCCTTTATTTTAGCAGCCTCTCGCTCTCGTGCTCGC